TTCTCTCTCTGACTCTGTGGTCTCCACAATCTTCATCTTCAGTGATGGCAAACATGGGCTTGTGCACCAGTATTTGTTACGGTCTCTGAACTCCTTCTCGTACCGACACTGCACGCTCAGTGATCCCCCAACGGTGCCCATCACGCGCCTGGGGCCGCTCAGAGACAAACAGCCTGGAAGACACAGCCCGTCCCGGGTTCGTTACCAGATGGGCCAGGGGCAGGGGCACCCTGGGATGCAGGTCCCCTCAAGAGCCCCCAGGGTCTGGAGGCCATGCCTTTGCTCAGACCAGGCGAGGGAACGAGGGGCGATAGCACCCTCCTCCCAGTGGTGACACGGGGAGAGGTTGTGCATGGAGACAAGAAAGGCCACGATGGGAAAAACGCAGTGTGTGCACATGTATTTGTGTGTGTGTATAAGTGTGTGTGATGCACCAAGACCACATCTCTGATTTTTTTAATCACTTAAGGATAATTTTCCATTGCTTTTTAGAGAGAGTGGAAGGGAGGTATGGAGGCAGAGAAAAAGAGAGAAACATTGATTGCATGAGCCCAGGTACGTGCTTTTGACCCAGAATCAAACCTGCGTTGGACCAACGCTCTAACCACTAAACCCTCAGCCAGGGCCCACATCCCTGGTTATGACAATAAGGTGCTGAGCACATGCCCCGCCTCCCCAGCACAGCTCTGAGGGCGCAGTGGTTGAGACCCACCTGCCTTGTGCACTGAATCCTTGTGGTTGCTGCTGAGGCAGGTGCTGGCCGCTCCTGGAAGCATCTCTGCCTCCCCGTGCTCTCCCCCATGTTCTCCCTCCCTCCTGCTGGGCTGCTCTTCACCCTCTACCCACTCCCCCCTCTCAGTCTTTCCTCATTCCCATTCGGGGTCCAGCTCCCCACAGCCCAGCCCCACTCACCTGGGACCTGGAGAAGGAGCAGAGCTGAAAGTAGCCACGTGGCCCCACTCCTCGGGGTCATGTCTCCGCACAGACACAGCCTGCAGCAGCGCCAGTTCCTATGGGTGGACACGGTCAAGCCTCCTCGCTGAGGGTTCGATAGCCCTGTGCCCACTTCCGCTTTTCTGGGCCTCTCAGCTACCATGTCCAGCGCAGTTATGAGTCCGATGCTGGATGGTCAGGGTGCAGGAAGCTT